ACATAGTGATTAATTAATATACAAAATATGTGACAAAGTGAAAATAAATAAATTTAAGTAGGGGTTTAAAAAAGAATTGCAAGAATTATTTGTATAGAGTCAATTGTTAATAAGACTTGTGATTTAAAATAATCTCGAACACAAAGTTAAAATATCAAACTTCAACAACTATGTCTATTGTGAAATATTCTTATAATTTATGTTATCGAATTTAGAATGCAACTCTATGTCTTATATGCATATAAAATGTGATATTATTAAATATTGCATATATTCTTCTCAGTTTGACTATGGAGTCACCGGATGGGTCGACTTATGGAGTCATCCACACTTATTCATCAATAGTGTATTGACACGTGTCCTACAATAAATACAATTTGGACAAGTGTTAATACATTAAGTCGTGGATGACTCCATAAGAAAACCATCCGATGGCTCCATAGAAGGTTTGATATTCTTCTAGCTAGAGGTGTTATTGGAATAGAGTTAAATACCTCACGATGAATCTCGTGTTTGTCTAATAAATGTATTGGTTTAAGTTGACTTATTAAACAACGAACAAATATGTGGTCTGAACTCGATTCATTTAATAAGCAAATATGATTTGTTGCTTGAGTTTTCACGTGTCATCGTGAAATATATTCGCAAATAATTTATTTCAAATGACAATTCTAGACTAGTCCCTCCAAAAAAAATTTCTGGATCTGCCCTGATGCTAAGGATAAATATACATCTGCTGAAAATAATATACTTAGGGTGAATTTGGTTGGAAATAGGTAATGGGCTGGATTAATTCCCACATGGCTTATTAGCTTTATCCAACTGATAGAATCAGACATAATAACTTGTTTGTTCCATGCTCAATATTAATAACTATGTAGAAGATTTTACATAATCACCCTTCGTTTGAAATTGAATTTTCAAAGTGTACCCTTAAATTGAATCCATATCCAAGCTCAGGTATTTTGCTACAGGACATAGGCAAACACAATTTCATGAACCCTATTAAAAATAATCGCAGATCTA